AGCTTCTTGCCACTAGGCCACCAAAGCTCCCTCTGTAGAGTTTTTAATGGTTCATTTGTAGAAGCTGATTGCTAAGTCCTTGGTTCCTAGTCTGTGTGGTGTTGAGGCTCCACTGAAACCTGGTCAGTGGAGACGTACATGAGCGATAGGTATTTAGGAAGTGTCTCATGCGGGACTTGAACTTGGATCTGCCACACTGAAGGCAAGACCTCTACCACTGACCCCATGTGAAGGTGTCAGGAGTCTGGGATGCTATTACATGGCGTGTGATGTGAGAAAGAGGAAAGTGAGTTTATCCACTCTTCTCAATTTGACTAATGTTCAAGTAACTGGGCTGGAGAAGGATGGGCAGTCTCCTCCCCTGTGATTAACTGCCTCTGAAAACCAGCTGGGGAATCAGCTATGGGTCAGTTTCGACTCGAGGGTGCACAAGTGATGTCTGATGGACACAGACCTGAAACGTGGCTCCTCCACTTTGCCAGGAGCGGGCCAGGTGAAAGCCTATTTGGATCATCTGTGAAGGTGGCGTGGACACAGTAAAGCTCAGACCTAAAAGTGTACAGATTAAAACCAACCACGGCTTTCAAGTCGGATCCATCTCACAGCGACTCCCCATCAACTTCTGAGGCTGTGAAGAACAGCAGGAGATTGCTCATCTTTCTCTCAAGGAGAAGCTAATAGATTGGAACTGCCAATCTTTCAGTCAGCAGTCTGATATGTTATACACTACACCACCGGGAGCCACATACTGCGCAGATTGGATGAACTGGATGGATGGATAGACAGACAGACAGAGAGAAACTAATTCATACACAGCAGATGCTTCCTAAAAGGATTTTTTTTTGTTTAGTTGTGACTATTTTTTTAGTTTTTTTTTTTTAAATTGATTTTAATAAAAGTTTACAGAGACTTAGGGTTTCCAGTCATTCATTGTTGCACTTAAAGGGACTTTTTTTTTTAAAATCACGTTCCAGAGATCTAATTGTCCACGTTTTTCTTTACTTGCAGAGATAAGAACTGCCAGGAGATATGGAAAGCATTCAAAAAGGCATTTATTTCCAAGAATCCTTGCCATGTCACACAAGAAGATTACAAACCACTATTGAAGCTCGCCAATCAGACTGTGCCCAGCAGCAAGGTAACCGGGACAAAGCAGTGATTGAATAACTGGGGATCAAAATTGAAGGGAGGAGGTTCCAGGAGTGGCTTTGCCAAGAGTGAAAAAAAGGAAAGCCCACACCTTAGATAGTGAATGTGGTTCAGGAGAGAGGGTGCACGTGTGGTGGTGGAGACCAGGGGTTAGGACATCTGGAAGATGGCAGTTCTGGTGGTATACTGTATAATGTCCCAGGATGCTAACCAAGAGGTCAGTGGTTCCAATCCACCAGCTGCTGTGAGGGAGAAAGATGAGTAATGACATCGTGTAGAGATTTACAGCTTGGAGGCCTGATGGAGGACACTGTGAGTCAGAAGAACTTAGCGGCAGTGGGCTTGGCTTTGCTTTGGGAAAGGGCAGCGGAGTGAGAAATAGGAACAGGGAAAGAGGAAGGGGGACATGTCACATCTACTGCCACAAGCAGGTAGGTTGTCAGCCAAAGCCAAGCTCCACTGAGCTTCTGAGGCTGTAAATCACCCAGACAGCCCACTTCTCTCCTGAGGCACTCCTGAGGGGATTCGAACCCTCAGGCAAGTGTGGCCTCTGGATTAGCAGCACAATTTGCTACGGACAACACCGCCAGAGCTCCCTCAGCACAAACACAGCAACAACTAAACAAGTCAATCTTACGTAAAGCCAAACCCACTGCCTTCAGGTATGACTCGTGTAACGTGCCTTCAAGTCAGAACTGACACATTGCAGACTCTTTGGCAGGTTTTCAGAGACTGTAAATTGCACAGGAGGAGTCTGTCCATCTTTTTACTGAGGAGCAGCTGGTGTGTTCGAACAGTGTGCTTTTGGGTTGGCAGAGCAGCTCTTTACCATTAGGCCACCAGAGCTCAGGTCGAGACTTCTATTAGCTTTCAGAGGCTATATAAAGCTTAACAGGAGATTACCCCAGCTTTTCCCCACCATGCATTCAAACTGCCTACCTTTCAGTTAGTAGCCCCACACTCAGCCTGTTTTGCCACCAGGGACCCATAATCTTACAGAATTTTTTTTCTCTCTCACCTCTGATAATAAAAATAATAGCAATAGTACTTTGCATTTGCAGCAGTTTCCCCCCCCCCCTTGCAAAGGTTCCCCTAACTCTTGTCATACACAGAAAAGTAAGAGAATCCGGGACAAAAAGGAGGACCCATCAGGAGATGCATTGACACGGTGACTGCAACATGATTTAAACACAGCCGTGATTGCAGGACGGTAAAGGATTGTGTTGTTATTGTGTGCCAGCGAGTTGACTGCTACTCATAGTGACCCTATGTACAACAGCCTTCTACCCTGCTCTATCCTGAGCCAATCTTATTGTCTCCAACACACTTACCTCCTGACCCCAGTCACCCATTTCATCCAGGGTCTTCCTCTCTTGCACGGTCTCTCCACCCTCCCAAACATGGTGTCCCTCTCCAAGGACTGGTCCTGCCTTACAACATGTCCAAAGTATGTCAGAGGAAACTTCAGTATCTTTGCCTCCAAGGAACAGCCTGGTCTCACCCTCTCTAGGACAAATCTGTTTGTTCTCCTGGCAATCCATGGTATATTCAACTCTTCTCCAGCACCACAGCTCAAAGGCATCAATTCTCCCTCTATCATCCCTAGTCATTGCCCAGCTCTCTGACGCATAGCAAATAATTGCAAAGACCATAGCCTTTATTAGGTGCACCTTAGTCTCCAGACTAACACCGTTGCTCTTCAGTACTTTGGAGAGGTCTCTGACAGCAGACTTTCCCAATGCAATTCCTCTTTTAATTTCCTGGCTGCTGGTACCAAGACTGTTGATTGTGTAGCCAAACAAGCAGAAGCTGTTAACAATCTCAATCTCTTCATCGTCTATCATGATGCTGCCAATTGGCCCAATGGTAAGAATCTTTGTTTTCTTGATGTTGAGCTTCAATCCATATTTAAGGCTGCAGCCTTGACCTTCTGTAGCAAGCACTTCAACGTACAGGATTAAGCACTGTTTTATTTTGCTGTAGATTGTTTTAGGAAAGTCTGCTGTCAGGAACTTGCCCAAAGTCCTGAAGAGAAATGATGTCCATTTAAAGGCTAAGGTGTGCTTGATTCGAGTCATAGTCTTTCTAATCACCTTCTATGCATTGGAAAGCTGGATAATGACTAAAGATTGCAGAAGAGTAATCAACTCCTTGGAGTTACAGTGTTGGAGAAGAATACTGAAAATCCCATGGACTACCAAAAAGCCAACAGAGATGTTTTGGACAAAGTGCAACCTGAGTGCTCATTGGAGGCAAACATGATAAGGATGGTGAAGCTTTCTCTCACATGTTTGCACATCTGATGAGAAGCTATTCCTTGGTGAGAGACATCATGCTTGGAAAGGTGAAGAGAATCAGTGAAGGGAAGGAAGACCCCCTCAATGAGACAGACTGACATCGTGAGTTCAACAATGAACTCCAGTGTGTTGGTGATGGTGAGAAGGGCACAGGGTAGGACAGGGCTCAGATCTGTTGTTCACAGGGTCGGTACCAGTCATACACAAGTACGGAATCAACTCAATAGCACGGAACAAGTGTCACTATGAGTTGTAGCTGACTGAAGGACTCCTTACAATAGTTACCTTAGGAGCTTAGTGATATAAGCAGTTTCCCATCAGATGTTCACCTAAAGGTTGACAGTTCAGATCTATCCAATGGCATCAAGGGAGAAAGACCTAGAGAATTGCTACTACAAAAATTATAGCAAACAAACAGAACCCCCAAAATTACAGCTAAGACAATTCTAGGAATTCAGGGACAATGGATTTTGGTTTTCCCCTCATTATCTTATTAAATCTTCATAGCTATCCAGTGATATGCATATGCCCCTGAGATTGGTGAATTCCAGTGGCCAGTGACTGAACAAATTCAGGGGACTTGAAAGTGACTGTTTGAATGTAGATGGCATATGATTTATACACAGACAAGCTTAAGATTTCACGTATTCAGTAGATACTGGGAAAAGGTATATAAACACGGAGAGCACATCTTTAAACATTAGTGTGTCTAAGGTTGAGATTCAATGTGCTTAAAATGACCACGGAGAAGCCCTTACAAACATCCTCCTGTAAACGACCTGCCTCTTTTTGCCTTATTAAAGATGAGGTTATGGTGTAGTTCTCCTTGGTGCAGCAAGGAGGCGCCTTTGCTTCACAAAGACCCTGCCCCATCCACTAGAGCAAAGCACAGCCCAGTCCTGCGCTATATTCATAATCTGCAGTGCTTGGGCCTGCTGTGGAAGCCGTCGGGCCAGTCCATCTCCTTGTCCCTCCTCCTCTCCTTCTCTTATCCTCTGCTTCTCTAAGCATGATGTCCTTCTCCACTGATAATATGCCCAAAGTACGTGAGACAAAGTACTGAGCCCTGTCCTGTCCTGCACCATCCTCCCAATTTCTATGCTAGACCCCATTGTTACTGTGTCCCCCTCATCTGGTTGAGGGTCTTCTTCTCTTTTTCTGTCTCTTCTAAGGAGCACCCTGACTATGCTTCCTTCCAAGACAGACTTGCTTGTTTCTTTGAAAGACATGATATTGTCAATATTCTTAGCCAGCACCACCCTTCATAGGCATAGCTTCCTTTAAGTCTATTATTCATTGCTCTTCACCGCTCAGCAGTGCTGATGCTCAGTCTCTATGAGGCAGGGTGACCCCAGAGCCTGGACATTTCACCACGGTCCCCCACTGCCTCTGTGAAGAAGGGACCGCGTCAAGGAGCAGCGCTGTGTTCTGAAATGAGCCATTCTGTCCTCTTAAGAGGAACCTGAAGCTGCACTGCAATCCCAGAGGTACATGGTTTGAATCCACCAGATTCTCCGCTGGAGGAGGAGGGACAATATCCTCCAGCACCAGTCA